GTTTTTACTGACAGACAAGGATATAGGAGGAGGGCAGAAAACATGGGCAGTTACAGGGAGCCTGGGCTCAGATAGGACACAGAAAGCACAACGTAGATGTGTCCTCCCCCTCCAAGATCCTACCCCTCTGTCTGAAGGCAGATATCCACCTGTGGTTTGCGCCCCATACTACCCACAGGACTTCAGGCCCTGAGATACCCAGCCTGAGCTGTTCAAAAAGGCTGTCCCTTCTCTGCACTGTCCTCCCGCCCTTGGGACCAAAGGGAAAGTGCCCACCACATCCTTCCTTGTCCTCTACTACTGACACATTCTCAGCAGCCACTCCTTTAAAGGACCCAGAGGGGACCATGTTCCTGGGCTGTGGTGGGGACACTCCCCTCAATAAAGTGACTTCTCTCCCTTACCTTCTTTCCTGCTCTTCACGGGTCAAGGGGCTAGTGCAGGGAGAGTGATCTACCCCCACCTTCCACAGGCCACTCACTCCGAATGGCGATCACATATCTGGCCAAAGGAAAGGGAATTCAGGAGAGACGCAAAGGTCACAGCTAGTCCACAGGCTTGGGTCAGGTGCTTCCTGTTATGTTAGCCACCAGGCCTGTCCAGCAGCCCTCACAGGGGAGGGGGAAGGGAGCTAGACCTGGATGCATATAGTGCTGCTTTTTCACATCCAGGAATAAAAACCCATAGCCACTGAATTGATTTTGACTCAAAACAGAGACTCTACACTTGGCAGGTCTGGTGGCCTAGCAGGTAAGGAGTTGTACTGGCAATACAAAGGCAGGCAGTTCAAACCCACCAGATGCTTCTCAAAAGAAAAAATGTGCATCTACTGCTTCTGAAAACCCACTGGAGGGTCAGGCATGGTGATTTCCAAATAGTGGGCAAATGAGTCAAGTCATTTCACTAACATAGGGCGGAACTGCCCATAGGGCTTCTAAACCTTTAATCTTAAAAGCAGCAAAAACTGCACTATCTCTCTCCTGTGGACCAACTGAGAGGTTTGAACCACTAACCTCTTGGTTAGCACCAAGTGCTTCATTTCACAAAGGAACTAGGTGGCAATGTTGTTGTTGATTGCTGTCGAGTTGGGCACAACTCATAGTGACCCCATGAATAAAAGGCCCAACGCCCTTCCAAAACCATCGCCATTTATCAAAGTTCAGAGAGTTTCCAGAGGCATGCTGTTTAGGAAGTGGATGCCACTCCTGCTTCCAAAGGTGGCACTACTAACCTTCTTTTAAGGATGAAGAAACAGAGGTCCCCTGAGGCTGAGATAGACATGAGGTTTCTTAGAGGGATCTGAACCTTAGTAGACTGATTCACAATACTTTCTCCTGGCCCAGAGGCTCCCAAAGAGTGCTAAGTGAAGCCCTGGGGTTCCGTTAAGATGTTTCAAGGGTTCTACAACCATAAGACAAGGTCTAGGTTCAACCTAGACCGACCCAGGCTCTGAAGTTAAATAGCAGTCGGAATCATGTCGGAACCCTCATAGGAAAGACTTGTTCAGACATAATCAGTGGATACTAAATATCAAGCAAAATTGTTATGAGATGCAATACATTTGCATGGTATTAGAATATCTAATACATATTATATTGGGGTACTCTGTCAGGGACCACCCCAAAGTGCTAAAGAAGAAGCATGTAAATTTAAAGACTAAGATCCAAACCACAGTATTTTCAATTGCTTCCTATGCTTCTGAAAGTTGGACAATGACAGAAAAAAGAAAAAAAAATGTTTTGAATTGAGATACTGTAGAAGAGTATTGAATATCCCATGTACTGGCCATGAAAAACCAAGTCTCTCTTGGAGAAAGTGTAACCAGGGTGCTCCTTACAGTCAAGGATGGTAGAACCTCATCTCATGTACTTCGGGCTTGTTGTCAGGAGGTGCCAATCTCTGGAAATCATTCATTCTGGGAAAGGTAGAGGGTCAGAGAAAGGCCCTCAATGAGATGGATTAACACAGTGATACAGAGAATGGTAGACATCAAGAGGATGGTGCAGGATGAGACCAGGATCAGATGTTTGTGGGGCTGCTGGGCTGTAGTCCACTTGACAACACATAACAAAGAGCATCTCCTAACATAACATTTTCATTATAATACATGTCCTCTATGTAACATAGATTATATATTTGGTCTATATGGACAGAAATATATGATTTCATATTAGTCACAAGGGGGAAAAAAAAATCCAGTAACTATACAGTAGTTAGTTAAAAAAAAACATGTGGATACCTGACCACACGACCAAAATGAACACTCATTCTACCTCCAGATGAGATGACCGGAGAAGGCCCCAACATCACCTATGAGTTTTGGGGCTGAGAATATGTAATATCAAACTATTTACAAGAAACGTTCAAACGCCAGATATGAAATGCTCTCTTAGAAAATGGGGAGGGAACTACAAAAAAAGCCCATGTCATGAAAGTCTGTGGGACAAGGTTTCAGAGGAGAGACTAAAGATCCACACCAATTAAAATCAACACTTGATTCTGTGTTGGCAGAAGAATGAATGCAGTAAAAGGATATTATTGGGCCAAATGACAAAATGAGACTACAACAAGTTATTCTATCAGTGTTAAATTTACAGTTGATAACAGCGGTGTGGTTACATGTGAAAATATCCTTTTTTTGGCAATACACACGCAGCAGGAAGCTCTGCTGACAGTATGTAGGGAGCTGTGCTGCTGGTCCAGAGGTCCCGTCTCTCTAGACATTCGAATCCACTAGCCGCGCTGAGAAAGAAGGGCAATCTCCTCCCATGACACTTACAACCTTGGAAACCCACTGAGGGGTTCAGCTAGGAGTTGGTTCTGATTCAATGGCAATGGAAGAAAGATGTGTTCTTTGTCCTGTTTTTATTCTTGGAACTTTTTTGAAGACTGAAAAGTATTACTCATGACCCTCAGTGAATGGGAGACTGGAGGAAGGGGATGAAATTGGAAGGGTCTGAGGTTAGCAAAGATGGTGCCTTGAAAGACCAGATGGCAATGATCTCAGCACGGTCCACGGGAAGAGAACCCAATCTGGAGGACAGTGGCCAGTCTACCTTCTGTTTCCTTAAGGCCAGCTGGAGGTCCCTGGAGCTGGACCCTCACACCAACAAACAGGCTAGGACAGAAAAGTTCTATAGTAAAGGATTTATTGCCAAACTTCAAGGAAGGCGCTTTGTAAGCAGAAGACACAGAACACATCCTCTTTGGGCAGGCAGGAAAGGTAGCCCCCAGTTATGGTGGCTCCTCTCCCTCTTATGATGGTCAACTTCCCTGGTGGGACAGAGGGTGCAAGGCACGGGAAGCCCATGGGCACTAATGTCATTAGAACGATGAGGCCAGCCCAGAGCTACCCGTCCTGCTTGAGAACTGACAGATGAGGAAACTGAGGCTATGATGCCTGAAAGAAGGCACCTTGCCTAAAGCCCAGCCAGCTCTGGCTGTGGGTGGCTGTGTCCCAGGGAAGATGGCAAGAGGGGCAAGTGAGAGTGGACATTTAGTAATAAGCTCTCATGTCACAAACAGATGGAGGCAGAGAACAGATTGTATCATGGGAAGCCATCGGCTCAAGGAGCAGGGTTTGGGGAGGCCAGCAGGGGACACAGGAGCCATGGCTCTGTGGCTTATTCTCACTCTGTTCTCGTATAGGCCATAAAGATGGCCTCTGTCCCTTATGACTCTTCATCTTCTGGTCATAACCTTCAAGAACAGAGTGAAAAGACAGTAAAGAAGGCCTTGGCCAGTGCTGGCAGGTCCTCAGTGGGCACATCTGGTGGCTGGGGCCAGTGGGAAGAAAGGCCAAGGCACGCTACTGTGCCCCACCCTCTCCTCTTTCTGTAAACAAAGTGCACATGCACAAATGTCCTGTGGAGGTCCTGTGAGCAGCTGGGCCCAGGGAAGCCAGACCCAAACATATGCCTGCAAGGCCTCTGCACCTACAGGCTCTGTCCTTGGTCCAGCCCCTGAGCAAGGTGGAGACTGGCATGCCTCGAGCCAGGGCAATTCCAAAGGACTCTGGAGAGATTGTGCGTTGTGTAGGGTGCTTGGGATGGATGCTAAGTGGTTTTAGGCCCTAACATACACTCATTGGCATGGGAAGAAATGATGAGGCTACTAACCCTGCTGGATGGATGTGGAACACTGAGATGCAGAGTCCCATTCAGGGAGACACAGAAGTTGGAGTGGGGCTTTCCTTCTGGAGGATGGTTTATGATCATTACATAAACCTCTTTGAGGTTGATGTCAGAAACGTGCAAGGCTGGGCACAGCTGGTCCAGGGCAGGACTAGGCAAGGAGACCCTTCCAGATCCTCCTCCAATCACAGCTCACCAAAGGGTAAGGGCTCGCAGAAAACGTCATTTTGCAGAAAAGGAAACATGAGGGGGGCCACACAGCAATGGCTTCATCAGAGATGCCTCCCCTCCTGCCTCAAGAGCCTGGCTTCCACATCTCACCCTGCTGAGAGGAGAACTGGGCCCTACAGCCTGGGCCCAGGCCTCAACAGCTCCTTACAACAGGTGGGCGAGGGCAGGAGAGGGCCTGACTTTAAGGCAGCCTCTGTCACAGGGCTCCTTGCCTGGCAACATCTGGAGATTTTGGGTGGGGGCTGCAGGAGGGCTCAGCTGTGTTCATTCAGAAGTCAGGAATGTAAACTACTGAGTTGAGGGGAACAGAGATGATGCCATCCCCAGAAACCCCAGATGCTGTGCCAAAGACTGGGGCATTCAGAACCATGCAAGCTCCCAGGCTGGGCTCCCAAACCCAGAGCCTGGAGATCAGGCCAGATGCCAGGTAGTCGGCACCAGTGACCTGCCCAAGCTAAAGTAGCAAAGACACCCAGGAGCTTGGCAGTCCCTAGCCAAATCCTGACATGCTCAGTGGCCCTTCCACAGGCCGAATCAGTGGCCCTTCCACAGGCCGAGCAGAAGCACATTTTGGCAGAGCTGGGATTTCAAGGAGTGGATTGGCCAGGAGGCCCAATGTCTATGGCCCAATGGGTGCTAGGGTGCACTTCTCCTGTAGAGGGTCACCAGCTCCTTCCGCTTCTCCCTCAGTCCAGGTGCTTCCTCGCTCAGGTCCCCCAAATCTCTCATTTCCTGCAGGACCTGAGTGGCCTGTCTCAGCTGCTCCACAGCCTGGCTGAGCAGTGTCTCAGCGTTCACGGGCGCTGGCTCGCTGCCCAGCACCTTGTTTAACAGTTGCTCCGTCTGTTCTGAGGCCACCTTCACCTCCAGCTCAGCCCGATACAGCCGTTCTCTGGGCTGTGGTGGGTGCCGAGGGCCCTCCCCAAGAAGGTCCCCCAGGGAGGAAGAGCGGGGATGGAAGTGAGGCGATGAGTCGCAGAGAGACGGTGCAGTGAACGCTGTCCCATCCTTCAGGTGGGTCCCTGGGGTGGCCGTGGCCTTGGACAGGTTAGCGGGCTCAGTGCTGTCATCCACACCATTCACTGAGACCTGGACTAGGCCTGGAGGAGAGGTCTTGGGGACTTCAGGACTCTGGGCTGGTCCGGAAGGCTCTCCCCTGCTCATAGAAGCTATCAGTTTCTCCGATAAGATCTTGGGTGGGGGAACAGGGGGCTTCCCACCCTCCTTGGGGGTAGTCTCCAAAGTCTCAGAACAGGACAGTTGAGGTGCTCCTGCATCCTCAGAGGCAGGGGTCTCCTTGAGGCTGGGGTTCTCCCAGCTCACCTTCAGTTTTTCAGGCAGAACCCTGTTGAGGAGCTGCTCAGGGTCCCCATCCTCCCCGGCTGGGGTCTCTGAGTCCTCCTGGTTCTCAGCATGTGTCTCAGGGGTCGGAGCTCTCTCCTCTGCAGGGGTCTCTGTCCTATCACCAAAGCCGAAGCCGGCAGGCTCAGGGGCTGGGGAAGGCTTGGTGGGAGGCATGAGGGGCCGGCGTGTGTCTCGGGGCTCGGCTGCACTGGCATCGTCATTGGGGGTGAACACAGAGGGCGGCCCGCTGTCCGGAACGTCCAGGTCCAGGCGCAAAAGCCCGTCGGAAGCTGCGCTGGCCACCTGGTAGGGGACAGTACATCGATGTCATCTTGGATGACTAGCCACTGGGTCATGCATGCCCTTCTATAAGGGTTCTCAAACCTTCCACCCATGCTGTCCAGGCCCCCAGCTCCCCTCCACCCTCTCTGCCGGCTTCCAAGGCCACTTGGTTACAGGCAGAAATGATTCCTTGATGATTCCTCCCCTTCACCCCAGAGAATCCTGTTTTAGTTTTTTAAATGTTTTAATTTTTTTTTTTTTTTTTTTACTATTGCACCATTTTCTTCTCCCTCCCCCCAAGAACCCTGTTTTGGAATCAGTCAGAACCACGGTGCCCTCTCAGGGCCCCAGCCTGGCTTCTCCCAGCTGGGGACAGAGACCATTTTTCAGTGGTAACCGTGTTGGGCTGAGCAGCACAAGACATGGTATCGTCCCTGTTACTGCCTGTATGACCCTTCTCCATACCCCACCACCTGCCACTCCACCCAAGGTCCCCTCAGTCTGCCAGTGACAGGAGCAGCACTCAAACACAGATCTCCAGTCAGCTCAAGTTCACTCGAATCTGCTTTCCCTTTCCAATGATCTCTGTCGAACCTGCCCACCCACATCATGACCTCCAGCAGGACAGCCCCAGCCCTGACTGCCCAGCTGCCAAGCAGTCTGTGCCTGCTCCCCTCATGTCGTCAGATGGGGGCCTAGACACGGGAAGCCGCAGACCACAGCTGACTGCCAGAGGAGAGCAGCTGCTCTAAGCAGACGGCTGTCCCCCACCTGGCCCCAGCAACCTGTGAGGACACCTGGCAACCTCATGGTTGTGAGGATTGGTATCCTTCCCTCAGCGGCTCAGTAGTGGGGTGGCCATGAGGCCTCTCCCAAGGTCCTTGAGAAGATGGGGTCCTGGCTGAAACCCTCACGCCATCAACAACCTAACCCCTACTTTCTTGTATATGAACCCACCAGTGACACGTGCCCAGAGATTCTCCTCTGCTGCGCGCCCTCCCAGAATTATTCCTCAGGGGGTCTCTCCCACCAAGGCTGTCTTTCCTCCAACATCTCCGGGATGTCCTGCTCAGATCTTCCTTCTCAGACTGATAACATGAGCCATTCCTTCCGCAGGCTCCTTCCCTTCCGCTGACAGACATGAACAGGCTGTCTCATCTCATACAACATCCTCCAACAACCTTTCTTCCAAGTGTGGTCTTTTTTTTTTGTATTTTCAATAATAAGAGTTTATTGCTATATTATGTTAGGAACACAAAACCCAGCTTAAATAGAATCTCAGAGAAAACATGATTTTTGATAGCACAACATGCAAAATTATGTTATAGCATATACTAAATGTGACTTTGCAAACATTTGTTGGTATTGCAAAGCAATACCAACTTTAATTCATAGAGACCCTATAAGGCAGAGTAGAACTGCCCTCAAGTATGGTCTTTTGTGTAGGGTTTTTTTTTTCCTTCCCTTCCATAGTTCCCTTCTCCTAGAGTCCACACAGCAGCCTTCAGCTGACTCTCTTAATTTCTCTTGGAAATTAAACCAGAAATGACCCTACCTGCCTTTTCCCTAGTCCTTCCCTTATGACTATGGCTGCCACCTGGCTGAGGGACCCCTAGGTTCTTCCCCTTCATTGATTCCATATTGACTACTCCTCCCTCTCCCCCCAAATGTAGTGTTTCCGGAGGTTCTTTACAGGCCTCCAAAATTTCCCCCTCATCACCCACCCACAGACCCATCAGTTCCACTGGTCTGAAAGATGAATTCCTCACTCTTTCAAATCCCCTGTGCCCTGGGCCTCCATCATCCCATCCTGAGCTTGGGGAGCACCTTCCCCGACTCTGTCAGTGCTTTTCTGCCAGATTAATTGTTCAGTCAAGCCACCTCGCTCAGCATAACTTGACTCTCCTGCCTCAAGCCTCAGCTCCCGCAGTTCCCTCAACCAAAATCCCCGGTCAATCAGCCGAAACCTTTCCCATCCTTTAATGGTGGGAAGCTCAAAAGCTGAGTTGAGGGGCAGGGACTGGTTATGACCAGTGTAGGATTCAGCAAACAAAGCCGGCTATGGATTCTGGGACCTGTACATACTGAGCAGATAGAATACAGGCAGCGCCTCCTCCACACACACACTCTTAAAGATTAATCAAGAGTCCCCAACTCCAGCTGTCCTCAGAAAAAAAGTGACCCCAAACCTAATTACAACTCCAAGGAGCTTATGATCCCAGGCTCCACCTGACCATGCTGAGAGCAAAGACTTACCTCTTTCAAGTGGACTCTCGTGGGTGGCCGGCGTCGCTGGCCCCCTCGAACCCGGTCCCGTGTCACATGTTCCAGGGCACAACTTTTATCCACCTTTACCTGGGAAGAAAGGAAAACTAGGTCAGCCTTGGGGATACTGAGAAGTACTTAGGCATTAACCGACCCAGAGACAGGGTCTATAAACCCTTGTCTTCACTTAACAGAGCCAGCACTTCACCCACTGCTCCTCTCTTTCAAGTGAATTCCTGTTCTGGACCCATGATACCTCCTTCTGTCCCACTACCACGTGTGTCTCTGCAGATTCTGAGGGGCCCTCTCTCTGCAACCTTACTGCTTGGTCCTAAGCTATCTGCTCCTCTGTTACCCTCTGAGGCTTATCTGTGGGTCGGGAGATGGAATATGCGCAGTAACTATGTGCCCAGCCCAGATCTAGGAGCACCTGAGAAAAGGCTATTGGCCAAAGACCACTTGGGCTGAGATGTCTGAAGAGAAATGCCTCTGCAAAGGGTAAGGAAGCAGGGTCAGGAGGAGCTGGGAAACCCCGGAGTAAGGTTCTCATGGGAACTGGGCTTCAGGCTGTGAAGCAGCCTGCCCGCAGGACAAGGAGTAAGACTAAGACTTCTCACTTCAGGTCTGCTCAGGGAGGCAGGTAACAGTTTCTATTTCTCAGTGGAGGACTCATCCCTGCTTCCCAAAGACTGTGTGGTGCTGCGGGATAAGGCCTAGCTCACAGCTCCTGGAACTGTTCCCAAGACCTGCAATTTGTCCCAACATCACTCTCCCCATGATGGGGATAGTTGCCCCAGGCAGTAAAGGGCTGTGCATGGCATAGTCACATAGGCCAGACACATAAGTGAAGGCTGGAAGTTGAGGGACCTGAGTGTTGGGAGAGCTTGGCAAAATCCAATGTCCATCGGCGTCAGTCCATAACTGAAGTGACCCCAAGATTTGTTTCAGCTCAAATAACTAAGAACCCATGATTTGTCTTTTTTGACAAATCCTCCCTGGCAGTTGGCTTCATGGGATACCCGTTCCTCCGCAAGACTGGCCACAGCCATGTTGCCAGTTCAGGAGGCTGAAGACTGCCAGACTGGGTCACTGCAGACAGAGAATGAGCCCCGGGTCCAGAGCACGCTCAGCCCCAGGTCTGTGTGGCCAAGGCTGCTATCAGATCAATCCTATCCCACCAACAATCTTTTTTTACTTGAAATAAGTTCACTTCCTTCTGCCTTGGTTTCCTCATATACAAAATGGGGAATACTCTCATCAATTTTCTGAGGTGTTACTGTGGAGATTAAATGAAGTCACAACAGTTAGCTGTTAGGCCTGTGGGTTTGCAGTGCAATTTCCAAGGGGTGATGTCACCAGTTGCTGCTGTTGTTAGGTGTCAACAACTCACAGCAAACACAGACTCAAACCTTGCCCCATCCTGCACCTCCTCACCATCTCTGCCACGTTCAAGACCATTGTTCGGGTCACTGTATCAATCCGTCTTGTTGAGGGTCTTTTCTCTTTAGCTGACCCTCTTACATTTCTCAGCATGATGTCTTTTTGCAAGGACTGGCCTCTCCTGCTAACATGGCCAAAGTGTGTGAGATGAAATCTAGGGGTTATTGGGGATGATGTGGAGCCTGGCTCCTCTCCGAGATGGCTCACGGAAGGAAAGGGGGCACACAGCGCTATTCACAAGCAGCATCGCACCTCATCAAAGGCCTTGTTCTTGCCTCGGTTGATTCCTTCGTTGAGGGCTTTGATCCAGGACTCTTTCTCTTCCCCACTGGGTGCCTGGAATTTGATGTCGCTGACCTGCCAGGGGAATGGCAGACATTTAACAAGAATCATTCTTTGGGGTCTTACGGGAGCTTCCCACCCAGCCCTTAGGATTTGTCCCGATTAGAAACGAACCAAAATGACCCCCACATTGTGTCTGTCACTAGAGCTTCCAGAGGTGGACAGGGTAGATTGAGCAAAGAAAAGGCTGTTCTCTAGCATGGAGCTTTAGAGGCTTGGATTAGAATTAGCTTTGACCAATGGAAGAGGCTGGACCTGCCCCCTACCTGAGGGACTCTCCCAGAAGCCACCTGAACTCTGGGCTTCAGTTTCTCTTATGTGAAGTCCCAGTTTATACCCAAGCCAGGCACAGAGGTGACAAGCATGAAGGGTGTCCACTGGTGAAGGCCCCCTGAACCCTGGGCCTCATCTCAGCTCCATAGCGGGCCTCACACTCAGATCTGGCCAAGTGGAAAACATAGCTCCATGCCTCCTAGAAGAGGTCTCTTTTCTACTCTTGAATCATAGGCTATAAGAGAAAAGGTGTGGCAAAAGACTCAAGCAAGACCCACACCTCACTCCATACACAAAAACCAACTCAAGGTGGATCATGGACCTAGGACTAAAACCAAGGACTATAAAATTCA